CGGGGTTGGAGTGGGAGTGGGTGGGGGGGGGGGGGTTTGAGAGAGGGATTAAGAAGTTAAGAAGTTAAAAATTATGAATTATGATGAAGATTGAAGAAGATTGAAGAAGATTGAAGAAGATTGAAGAATTGATAATCAAGAGAATTTAGAGCATTCAAAGGAATGGTAATGTTGAGATGGAATGGATGGATGGGATGGATGGGATGGGATGGATGGGATGCGTCGGGAGTGTAGCTAGCTAGCTAGCTAGCTATCTATCAATCAGATAAATGGTCCATATAATTGTATTGCATTGCATTAGAGTATTTCAACATCTATATCGATTTTTGGGCTTGGGAAGTTGGGAAGCTGGGAAGCTGGAAGTTGGGAAGCTGGGAAGCTGGAAGCTGGGTGGGAGGAGGAGATGCGTATATATCTTTTTTTTTTTTCTATATATATATATACCTATTTTTCTTTTCTTTTTCTTTTTTTAAGGGTAGGGAGAGAGAGAGAGGGGATTTTCTGCAATGATCTCTACCTATCGATCGATCTACCTATCGATGGATGGATGGATGGATGGATGGAGGGATGGATGGAGGGAGGGATACACGCACGCGTGCATGATTTTCGACACGGGGGGTTTTTAGAGATTGGTGGCTACCTTGGGTACGGTAGTCTGGATGGAGGTTTGGATAGGTATAGGTATAGGTATATCCGTTGCAGCGTTGGGACCGGTACCTTAGGTAGGTAGGTATTCCATTCCAGACTTTAGATTCCGACCCGGGTTGAGTTGGTCTGGGATGGTGGGTGTAGATGGAATGAGAGGGTGTTGAAAAAAAAATTTAATATTTTTCAATGTTTTTTTTATTTTTATTTTTTAAAAAAATTTGAATTTTGAATTTTGAATTTTGAATTTTGATTTTTTTTTTTTCAATTTCCAATTTCCAATTTCCAAAAATACATACATATATATATATATATATATATATAAAAAGGGGTTTTTTATGAGAAGCATCTCGACGATACGATGCGATGCAATGCGGATATGTACGTACCTAAACTTTTGAGTGGGCGGATCTCTCATTAGGATCGATTGATTAATACTATGTGATATTATGTTTTATGATATTAAAGATCCTAATAATACCTCATACGATAACCCAATGAGAATGATACTGGATGACCATGCAAAAGCGTGGAAGATTGGATACCGGTATTCTCTGCGATCTGCGTCATGGTATATTAATAGAATATCAATGAGTATTACTTTCTCCTTCTTCTTTTTTTTTTTATATCAAGATTTATTTAGATATACTACCTCGTATGAAAAAGGTTAAGAGAATGAAAGAGAATGATGTCGATGCGTCGCGGAATCGAATTTGTCTCGCTTACGTAGTAGTACTTTTTTAAGGGAGGGGGGAAGAAGGGAAGAGGTTTCGAAAAGTTGGGAGGTCAGACTCCTCCTACTGCGGAATACGGAGGGCTCTCCTTTTGATCGCCGAGGCGTCTCCGTACGGAGCTTTACGTGCCTTGAGTATAGTACGTAGTAAATGCCTCGGGGAACCGGACAACTTCACTTCAAACGGAACAGGCAGGCCCCCTCCGCCCAGGCGATTTGATGGGGTAGGTAATGACGTAGACGTGTGTTTCGGCGTCGGCGTCGGCGTCGGCCCCAGCAATTGATTCCTCGGATGTTCATTCGATCCGCCTTCGCATTCGGCTCAGTGGATGCTGACTCCTGAGAAGGAAGGAGAGCCGTGATGGACCGAACGGATTGCGTGCGAGCAGATTACGGGGTAAGGCTATGGTGTTTTGAGGATAGGTGGGGGAGGATGCTAGATTTGTGTTAATGACATAAGCGGTGGAGAGAGATGTACATATTTATGCATCTGGAGTCTGATTTTCCTCTTGGTAGTCGGGACAGGGTGTAGGTTATTCGTTTAGACTTTGAAGAGATACAGTACGTACGGTACTACTACAACCTTATTCCTCCACCCCTGAATAGAGTTTGGTACCGGTAGTTGTACAACTACAACTACAACTACAACTACTACTACATGTACGTAGTACGTAGTATAAGTAGTGTTAGGCCAGTCTAGAATGAGTAACTGGAATGGAAGAAGGAGAGGAAAATGGAGGGAGGTTAGGAAAGAAGGACATGGCATGCTCTCTCTTATGGAAAGCTCACTTTGGGCTAGTGGGGGAGGGGGCGGCGAAACCAAATGATTACGTCAAGCAAGCTACAAGCAAGCAGCAAGCAAGCAGCAAGCAACAACCTCCAACTGGGTAGGATTTCCCACAGCTTTACAGACAAGACAGGCAAGGAAAAGAAGTAGGAGTTGAGGACTAAAGGGTAAGTGTGATTTGTTTTGTTTTGTTCTGTTTCTTCTTATTTCTTTGTTGAATCGATTATGTGTGTTTTCAATGACGATTGCTGCTTCTGTGTTACGGTACTTGAATCATGAAAGCAGGCAGGCAAGCAAGCAGGCAATTCTTGATGTGAACTGAGTACCTAACTGACTATTTGGCACCTTTGCTCTCCCGGTAGAAAAACGAAAGGATACCACCCATACAAAAACGAAAAAAGACAACGAGCAAAGGAAAACCAACAAATAAACGAGCAGATCAAATAACGAGCAAAAACGAAGTACCCGAGCAAAGATGTCTCTCCTCCTCCGAAACGCGCGGTTTGTTACTGCTGCTGCCGCCAGACCCTTCTCGAGCACGAGCTTCGTGGCGCTGAAGGAGAGTGATCGCCGTGAGCCTCTTCTCCTCTCCTCTGTCCTCCTACTCCCAACCCACCCACCAACCCAACCTAGCCCGATCCGATCCATCGTTCTGGCATCCATTGCATCGGATTAGGAGGGGGTGGGAATGGAAGATGTCGTCTTGATCTTGAAGAAGGCATACAGGAACGGAAGCTGACAAGAGATGGGTTACGTGCGTGCGTAGATATGCCAAACCAAGCGGAGCACAACGAGAAGCACAAGCAGGACCAGCTGCAGAAGCAGAAGGAGGGAAAGGGTCAATGGAAGCCGGAGCTGGCTAGTGACTCTGAGGAAGCTGTGAGTTTTCTGTTTTCTTTCCCCACTTCCCCCTTGCCCCTTGCAATCTTCTCCGGGTTCGGGTGGTGGTGCTAGCCATTGCATACATACTTCTCTTGTATGTGACGAGGGAAGAAGAGGAAGATGTTGTCGTTTATGACGAGGGTACTTGCTGATGCCATGGACATGAATAGCTCAATGCCGAACGCCATAGCGGCCACGGGTCCATTGAGGAGTTGCAGAAGAAGAGTGCGGAGCAGGCTCAGAAGAAGAGCGGCTAGGTATGTCTACCCTTCCTAAGCTCTCTGTGTAATGTGTAAGATGGCCATGGTGACTTTGTGTTTGCAGACAAGGCGCCAGGTAGTCAGGATCCTGGGTTATGGACGGAGCGAGTGAGCTGGGAGAAATCAGGACTTTGGAGGAAACAGAACAACATGTACAAGAGTAATTGAATTTACAACATTGAGCTATAAGCCGGGCTCCTAGCTCTGTCTTTCGGGTGATCCGTATTCCTGACCTCTGTTTGTTATTCAGTTCCAGCCATATACAACCCTGTGGCCCAAATCCCAACCCAACGCCGGGCAATGCGAATTTCCCTCCCACGAATTTCCCTTCCATTCCCCACACTATTTCAGAATGATAATCAGCAACACCAGTATTATGATCAAGATCAAAATGACCGTCAGTTGCATGTTATCCTTTGCCTTCCGCGCCACACTCCCCAAGTTCTTCCGCGCCTTATCCAGCGAGCTCTGATGCCGATCCACCCTCCGATCGACCTCGTCTAGCATCTGTACATGCTCGTCGAGCTCATCTCCAATCTGTATGCTCAACTCCCGCTGCCGCCCGATCGACTCGCCCAGCCGGTCCAGCGCCTCGTCCTGCTCGGCCAGCACCTGCGAGTGGTAGGCGTGGATCTGCTGGTTGTCGAGGTGCGACTGGTCGGGCGGCCCAGATGTCGGATCGTCGCGGTACGGGAACAGGGCGTTGCGAGCGGTGACCTCGTCTTGGTCCTGCGTTGACGGCGCATCGGAGAAGCGTACGGATTTCGAAGAGGGGCCTACGGCTGCGGCTCCGCGGAGAGATTTTTTCAGGAAGGAGGATGAGGAGGTGACACTTGGGCGGTCGGCGGCTCGCGCGAAGTCGGCGGCGAGGGAAGGGTTGTTGGGGTGTGAGAGGGTGGAGGAGGTGGTGTCTGTCGGGACGCCACTGAACTGGGCCGCGAGGTCGTCGTATTGTTTCTGCAGGCTCGTTTCCGTTTCTTGGATCGCGCTGGCTGCTCTGTATTTTTTTTCCTCTATGAGCTAGGGCTTCTTGGGTAGGGTATTGGGGTTACCTACGCGATGTCTCCCGATTCTTGTAGCCTTATCCGCTCTTCCACGACGCTTTCGAGGCCTTCTCGTAGGGAGTCCAGGGACCGGAAAATATGTCCATCTTGGGATGTCGGCTCGAGGTTTAAGGAAATGGCTCGTTGTCGCTCGAGTAGAGAGAGCTTGATGTGATCTGCCAGCAGGAAGAACTGGTTCGCGTTCACGTTGGCCATGGTTTGATACGTACGCCAGGTACGACGCGACTGGACTGAAGACGAGACGAGAGCTGGAATTGGGGGAGATTGCTCAATAGAGAAAGGGCAATTGTAAGGCTCCTCGCTCGTCTTTGACAAGAGCAGCTCTGCTTAGTATCCGAAGGCAAAGGAAGTTGAATAGATGCAAACCAAGAGGATGATGGTAAGCAGGAACTTTGCGACTTGTTCGGTTTAGAGATTTTCGGGTCGAGATGTCGGACATCGGACAGTCAGCCTCGGGTTCCAGAATTTACCCTGATGAAGCCTAGCTCCAATTGTACCGGGACGGTCACGGGGGTAGACCAACTACGGGGTAGGCTACCTCGAAGACTCTCTTCACAATACTTATTTATTTCATCTTCATTTCGGCTTCACTTCATCCACACACACGTCTTGAATACATCTTGAACTGGATAAAGTTTTGCGTTTATTACCTAAATTCCGGAGCAAAAATTCTGCCTGGGATAGGTTACTTACGAGATCAACACGGCTCTCAGCCTCGAACTGCCCGACGAGCACGTGTAACGAGCACATACAGACTTCCTACTACTTATGGCAACAACAACAACAACGAACATGGCTGCAATTGATGCTCTCGCTCCAGCTGGTATCTTACCTTTAGAACCTGTCTACAGACAATCCCCGAAGAGACTACCCAGTCTCAACCTACACAATCCCTTGGATCTCAGAGCTCTAAGCTTCGACGGCCCAGTGGATGAGAACCTGATGTGCCCGATATGTCACTGCCCTCTCATCGATCCGGTCATGACAGAATGTGATCATATCTTCTGTCGGGAGTGTATTGAGGAGTCCCTGATGCATAGCCAGACATGTCCCATCGATCGATCTCCCATGTCCGATGATATCGATTCCTTTAAGCGAGCCCCCAAGATCATACTCAACCAACTAAACGACCTGAAAGCAAAATGTAAATACTGCTCTGTGCCATTTGCTCGCTCAATGCTGGAGAATCATATTGAGAGGTACTGCCCAGAGGCCGAGATGCGATGTCCAGGTCTGAACACCGAGAAGGAATGCCAACTGAGGGTGAAGCGAAAGTACTCCGATAAGGGCTGCTTGCACTATGAAGCCGATTGTCCAGATTGTCAGGAGTTGCTTCTTCAGGCAGATATGGACTGCCACAGAGAGAGTCTTTGCAAGGAGAGATTCATGACTTGTGAACATTGCGGGAACGAGATCGTGAGACTCCAGGTTACGGAGCATCATTCGGAGTGTTCAGATGTTATTGCACCGTGTCAGTGGGCTGGGTACGGCTGCTCGTACGAAGCGAAAAGGAGAGACTTGCCCCTTCACAAGGATGAGTGTAGCCTAAAGACCGTGGGTCCCATGACAGATATGTTGAGGAAGGAGATCAACGAGCTTCGGAGTGAAGTCCGAACTTTGACAGAAACCAACCAACGTCAAGATCGCCGCATTAAGTTTATGGAAAGCGGCTCTCGAGACTTCAATCATTCCATCTACGCTACAGATCTTTCCGGTCCATCGTCACTACCTACTCTTCCAGAGTCGGCAGGCTCCGAGCCTCTTGACTCCGCTCAACAGTATCTTCTATCTCTGCTGGAGACTCAAGAAAGCAATTTAAATCATCTCCAAAACAATCTCACCGAGTCCGAGGCTAAGCAAACCACCATGCTCTTTAACGAGACGATTCCTATCAAGAACGAGTTGGCAGAAATCAGAAGCATGCAGCAGACCACCAGCATGCATGTTCGCTGGCTGATGAGGTTTCGGATCCAGGAAAACAGTCGACGAGCCGGTGGGCCTGGGCCGGGATCAAACGGGGGAAGCTCTTACGGTGGTGGAGGGTCGGATGGAGGAGCTGGCGGGTCGGGTGGCGACTCTTCGCATCCGAGAAGACTGAGTGATTCGATGTCGAGGGATCTAGTCACGAAGCTTTGAGCTACGAATACATTGATACGACTGCATACGACGGGGCGCTCTTGGTATTCATGATTTGGTTTTATTAGATGGATCTTTTGTGACAGTATGGGGTGCTCAATTTGGACGGGAGGCGGTAGTCGCGGCTTACGAATGTGATACTGGGAGGGAATGGCTTCTTCCGTCCTCTGCAGTGTGGGAGACTACGATAAACAGGAACGCATATGAACCTTTAGAAGCTTATGGCGTAAAATGAAACCGCTTCTGAAGTGGGCAATAGAAAGTGAGACTTTGCTTTCTCGCTCTCTAGATCGCTTCAAGTGATTCTCGCGTATCATTTATCCTGCTTCTCTCTTCACACACCTCACACGCGAGAGAAAGAGGGGTTCCAGTCGGCCGTTCCTTGTAAGTTGCAACACCAATTCACAATTCCAAATTAGTATTCTGTAGCTCACATGTACTCTTCAATATGCCCAGCCGAAAGTGGGTATACCAAGTACGTCTCTCCTCCATCATGGAGATCTCGCTTCAAGGAAAGAAGCTTGAACCTATAGTCACCTCTAACTGCTAAAATGCAAACTTTTATTTCACACCAGGATTCTTCATTCACATTTAACAGCTTAAACTTTGTACATCTACAAGCTCTGAAAGGTAAAGAAAAATTACATTAAAACCCCTTAATAACAAGAAACAGATTATAGCTAGAAGACGTTTTTATTCTATCTTTATCATGTAATAGAATTAATATAAGCAGAAATATGGAAAGTTGGCTTTGGCTTGGCTTTAGAAGAAGTATTAGAAAAAAGGAGCGACTTCAGCTTTGTCTTTTGTATCTAGGTCTGTGAAACGGGCTGATTTAAGCGTGACGGTTCTCATGAGTCATCTCCCTGAAGATAGAATTAACAAATACCTGCTAATGTTGATTTTTTTTCCAAGTGTTGTTGGCCCTTGGTTTTGGCGCGAAAAGTGGTTTTGTGCATTAGCAGTTGCCTGGTACTGTACCTCTCCCCCGAACCAAGAATTCCAATTCGTTTATATAACCAAGATATAGGAGCCAGCGACGAATGAGTGAGATGTACACGAAGAGGTTACCAAATGGCTCACCACGCAGCTTAATCACCAGCCGAGTAACGTTTGACCAAATGCTGACGCGACACCTTCGCAGCAGCATGTTTCCACGCGGTAGGTGCAGATTCGTCTCGCAGATCGGTCGGGTTTGGATCTGGTTCAATTGGTAGTGTACTGTCTCCCTCGGAATCGTAGCGGTATCACCCATATGAGGAGTCCACTCCTGCGATTTCATCTCCGAAACTTCGTCAGGTGGGTTTTTTTTACCAATGGTGTTTCTATTCTGGATACTTTTGCACTTGCAGTCTGCTACGGGCGAAGACGTATGGATATCTTTTTTTTTTAGATCGTGCCGAGCTCCCCGCTTGTCTTTCTGTGAAGTGTGTCTCTGGGCTTTGTCTGGAGCTGTGTTATCGAATTTTTATTATTACTACTATCCCCCCCCATGAATAAATGTCGAAAGTATAATATCGCAAGGAATCTTCCTAAGGCTTAAACCAATCAACTCATAAGGATTCAGCTTTGAAAAGTATCTTTGAGCCAGTATTTAGCCTATACAGTGGAGTTGGCAGGGCTTTGAGCCATTAAGAAACCACCGCTCTATGATTTATGGGCCTAAACTGGGTCCGACATTTATTCATGGGGGGGGATAGTATCCCCCTCCCTGAGTAAAAAACGAAAAGTATATTTTAACTAGGGGTTGAGCCAGGGAGTTGTAACCCTGATGTTTGGGAAGCAGTTCCTTACTGTAAAGGGTGTGTTTGGCTCGCAGATGCAAGCCAAGTTGCACCACCAAAATACCACGGTACAGGCCTAAGTATCACCCCTCGAGGGTAGGGTAACCAGGGGGTTTAAAGTGGAAACTAAACTTTTGAGGCATCCTAAAGGGGTAACAATTACGCCTGTAGTGTGGTATTCTTGCATTTCCAAGTTGCGCGTCAAGATGCAAGAATTGAGCAATCTGTATGGCTCGTGCACGTAAATCTTATAAAGTGTGCATCTGACCTTGCAACTTGTATTACGTAGGTAGTTGCACCATACAAATCGAAGTTGCAGCAAAAAGCTCTAACTTCCAAGTTGCAAGCTCTCCCTTCCCACCCCCCCTCCCTTCCTTTCCGCTAACTTTGATCACCTTTTCATCCTTTTACAACGCCACCTTTTTGCAATAGCTTTTTCAAAAGATATTTTGAGAAGGCGTAATCTGCGCAATCGCAATATCGGTACTAATATCGCTTCGATAGGAGTATGCGCCGCTGTTCAATACTACAAAAACAACTTCGCAAAAACACCTTACTAATAAGTAGCAAATTGCTATTCAACTTGCTAGTTGCGAGCTATACAAGCCTTGGAACGTGCAACTTCTTTTGTCAAGTTGAGTCCATTGTCAAGTTGATTTGATCCTAAAAGTTGATCCTTTTTGGGATCAACTCAACTGCTTAGTTGCACCGACGTGCAACTGCGAGCCATACACACCCTAAGTTATATAATTCGTGGTAAAATGGATATCAGGCAATAATTGATGCACAAGGAGGACTTACAAAATACTAGAAAATAAATGCATACGTTATCTTGCTACATTTAATAAGCTGTCAGCTTTAAGGTCAAAATATGCTTTCACCAAGTGGGTCGGTCTTTAATTTAGGGTGAGGGATAGTACTATTTTTTGGTTTGTTTTAGAGTTAAGCGAAACTTTATGGCATCGACGCAGACGTCCTCTCGCAAGTGCACTCTCTTTTCCACCACCTTCATCCTGACGGCCAGTGAAGACGGATTCTTGAGCCTGTATATAGCGCTGGCTGCGAATCTTCGATATTCTCACTATTATTCGTAAAGCCGATTAGAAAACACTCTCTCTTCGAAAGGTAATCGAGGCGGTGCACTTTGATGCTAGCTGTATTTTTCGTATTTGCTAATAAAACGAATAACGATTAAAGACACGAAATAGGTATCGCAACATACTCTTTTATATGTAATTCGAACCTGTTACTACCGACTAGCTTGATGAATTTATTCGACGCGTTAATCCGATTTTTTCTCGATACTGGAGAAGCGGTATTTACGATCGATTATACTAAGACGCTAAAAGAACGAAGTAGACACGATATCGGCCTAGCTCTTCGGAACTCTCGAGATTGCTATACGATACAGGAACCTTTAGTAGATGCTAGCTCGAGGAAGCTTATAATTATAATCGATTACGGATATAAGAGGTCGAACGAAAAGAAAAGAAAAGAAAAAGGATCTAAATCGAATACTCGATTGAATAATCGGAAAGATGGTATGTCGAGCTACTAATAACTAGTCGCAATAAAAAGCGACCGCAGCAATTAAACTAGCAGTAAAGTTTTGCCGTTAACAAGAAGAATTAAGATATATTAAAGCTGCGATATCGCGGGATCAAAAACTCGAGATTTTAGATCGATTTAATCTGTCTCCTTTTGTAGTTTTGATATTATCGGTATAAGTAGACTTTATATTTCAAGAACTATTTAATTAACAAAGACCACCTTCTCCTGCGGAGTATTTATATTAGAATTTGACGCCGCCACGTCATTATACCTTTAAGGAAGTGAATGGTAAGTCGAACTCCTTTCAGAACCCGCAGCAGACGTTAAAACAATACTTTACTACACTAATCCTTCATCCTGACACAACTCTGGTTTATTTAGCGAGGGTTATAGGAACAATTGGTTTCACTTCTTACTTCGCCCTGACCTCAAGTCGTTGCCTTACCCGGGGTATCCTTTACTATAGACGGTGTTTTCTGGGGTGACATGTTTCAAAGCCGGAGTAATTCAGAGGGTTAATTCATCCGAGGCTTAGTAACAGCGGATTGCGACGATTTCTTACACATTACACGCTTACCCGACGGTATTAGAGGCGGATATTTATTTGTTGGCGAAAATAATCGCGTGAAGAAACGAGGAAATAGTGTATGGCATACTCCACCCCATGACATGGCTCATTCGAAGCAGGAGAATGACGTAGTACTCGCAAGACGAAAATAATCTTTTGGCCTGCAAGATAGCGAATTTTTATATACATGGCGAGCCCTCTTTCCACAACCCCAATTCACTATGTACAACACTTGACGTTCTCAAAACCATCAAAAAGCTGATGAACAAGCTGTCTTGTCCACACGCTTAACAGGCGTCGGGCCAGCGGTCACCGTTCAAGTCAACGGTTTGCGAGAAGCAATACTCATAGATTTCGTTCGCCTCGTCGTACGCGAATCCCAAAGTGCTGGCACCCTTGCCTAATCCGACCTGTATCCCACCACTTAGTAGATGTCCAGAATCCCAACTTTGAAAAGAGCGAGTATTGTGCTCCACTTACAAGGTAGTACGGGAGTCTCATCCGTACACATCTGCCGCTCGCAATGTTGGAGGCGCTTTCTTCAAACGGGGTACTCTTGTCGACACCAACGACGAGGGCCTTGAGTTCTTCTTCGGTCCATGTCTGGGTCCCGTTGAAGGTACCGCAGGTAAAGGGGTTGGGGAAGCCGCTCAATGTTACAGCTGTCGCCGAAGCGATGAAAGCGAGGGACACAGCGAGAGTTGAGAATTGCATGGTTGGTTGTAATTTGTGCTGAAGTGAATGTAGGGAGAGATGGTAGTTGATGGATGATGTGCTGATGAGTGCAGATTAGAGGAGGACTAGAGGGCAATCTGGGGTATATATATACCCATTCCATCTCGCCCTCCCCCCAAATTGCTACAGCCTGAGGGTGCCTCAGAAGTTTGAATCTCCACTTTAAACCCCCTGGTTACCCTACCTTCAGGGTGTAACACTCACGCCTGTGACGTTGTAGGTAGTACATTTACTGTATTATTCTATTGAGGAGCTGAAAATCACGCACGAGCTTTCTTGGTACTGCGTATAAGAATCCAGCCCTGAAAAGTATCTTAAGGTTAGTATTTACTCTGTGCAATTGAGTTGACAAGGCTTTGAGCCATTCAAAAACCACCGCTCTACGATTTATGGGTCGAAATTCGGTCCGATATGTATTCATAAGGGGGAATAGTATTCGAGACCAGAATCACAGTTACTACCAAGAGAACTCGTGCGTGGTTTTCAGTTCTTCAACAGAATAACACCGGTAGTAAATGTAGTAGTACTTAGTAGTACTATTACTACTACGCCACAGGCGTACGTACTACTGCTATTCATGGGGGAGAGTATTGGGAGAAAAGTCTAACTGAGACCTCGCCGAGGAACCTTGAAACCAAATGAGAGAGATCGAGCTTACAGATGCTAGGTATTGGCTGCAAGAATGTGGAGTCTGCCGCGTCTGCCGCGGACCAAGGTGGCCCTGAGGGCGATAGATCAATTCCAACTTATATACTACGTACGTAGTATATCAGTACGAAACTCGCGCAATTGCCGATGGATCTCTGCTACTTTAATCGGGCTGCATGGTCAATCTCATTAAACCGTGAACCGTGGAGTTGATGGGAACAGGGACAATCCGTCAAGTACTCCGTTCTATGTCTGGCTGAACAAATGCCGCCTAAACACCACAAGGTTTGATCCCTGGCGGCTCTCCGCAAGCGCCGGGACCAGAGGACCTTGCTTCGCCCCGGTCGTAGTGCAAGGCTGCCTTCCGCATTAAGGCTACATTCGTACGTAGTAGTTAATCTTCTATAAGAAATAAGCTTTAAAACCATGTACTGTACGTAGTACTTAGTAGGTACTACTACTACCTACTACTTATGAAGAAAATCTAACGCTTTAGCTCGGCCACAAGCTAAATACTACTATTCCGGCCCTCCTCAAGCTCCGAGGTAAGTTTTCCGGACCCCGCGGGATAATATTCGTAGTGATATAATGCTCATGGCTTCTTTTAAGGCGATGCAGCTAGCTATCTCTCGAGCATTTAATCTATAGCAATAGCCCTTTTCCGCGCGATGCAGCCAGCTACTTTTCGAGCATCCAATCTATAGCAATAGCTCTTTACGACCCGGTGCAGCCAGCTATCTCTCGAGCATTTTACTTATAAACAACAGCTTTTCTTCGCGCGATGCAGCTAGCTATTCCTTCTATAAGAAACAAGCTTTAAAAACATAGTAGTACTACTATGAAGAAAATATAAAGTTTTAGCCGGCCGCAAGCTAAAACTTAGGGCCCTTCGTAAGCTCCGGGGTAAGTTTTCCGGACCTCGCGGGATGTAACGCTTTAGCCCGGTCGCAAGCTCAATCTTACGGACCTTAGCAAGCTCCGGGGTAAGTTTTCCGGACTTCGCTGGATAATATTCGTAGTTATATAATCTTAAGAGCTTCTTTTAAGGCGACTCAGCAAGTAGTAGCTATCTCTCGAGCGTTTTATCTATAGCAATAGCCCTCTTCCTATAGCATAGCCCCTTTCCGCGCGGTACAGCCAGCTACTTTTCGAGCATCCAATTTATAGTCCTTTTAACCCGGTGCAGCCAGCTATCCTTCAAGCATCCCATCTATAGCAATAGCCTCTCTTACTTAAATCGATGCAGCAAGCTGTATTCCGAGCATAAATCTTTTTATTATTAATTACGTAGTAGCTACTAATTAAGTATTCGAAAGGAAAAGAGTTTATAATCGTAAGTTTTAACCGCAAAAAGTGGATTCCGATTACAAGAGTGCAAATCAAGCTTATTAAACCCGCAAGATTATCTATTTTCTTATAAATAAGCGATTAATTAGGTTTTTGATGTTCTTTGATGGCCCAAGCTCAAATCGATGCACCCAATCAACGTAGCGGCCGTAGGTCAGGTGACCGCATTTTGAACAGTTTACGGTCTTAGCCAGGATCCACATTAAGCTCAACATTATACCGGTATTAGAAAAGAGAATACTACGTAGATACCGGTAGAGGACAGGTAAACATGAGACTTTAAACATGCCTCACCCTTTGAGAAATACCCGAGTTGCACCTGCCGAAAATTTTAAAGACATAAGTAGTAAATACTACGTAAGAGCTGGCTTTCATTTACGTACGTGGTATTTGCTGAATCACTGTGCTATCGTGGCTTACAGGGAGTAACAAGGGGTCCTAGATCCAAGATCCAAGAGTTGAAGGCCCCTGAAAAAAGGCCCTGAAGAGTTTAACCCGAATGAACTTGAGCTTTCAAGGTTCATTTCAGAGGAAAGGGAAGGACGTACTGAGTGCAGGGCAGACTTGTGAGAGTCGATAAATCTACCTTCTCAACCGGGCATAGTACTATAATGAAGCAGTATGTCCACCCGAGGCCACCCGAGAACGTCATACTCCAACATTCACTTTAGCTTTCTTAATAGTTTACCATCATCTGTCTTTCTCCACCTCTGTTTTTATCCACGGGTCTCTATACACTCCCTCCAAAATAAAGTTCACTCTCTTCGCCATCGCCATCGCGACTATCGTCGCCCCCTGCGTCGCATCCCCCAACCCACTTTAGAAGCCGCGAGAAAGCTGCGTACTAAACAACGGTCTTGTCAGCTGTTTCCGCATCTTATCAAAATCTCAGTATCTAGTACAGTAGAAGATACTACGTAATTAGCACTGAACACAGGGCTCTCATCTCTGCCAGGATACTATGACTGGGGTGTCCACGACCCATGCTTTGATGTACTACTACTACATACTACTACGTACGTACGTAGTACGTACAGTAGTACTATAAGTCTCTTTTCTACCCATGCAAGAGTTCAAAAGTGCAAAAGCTCATCAACTTCTTTTCTAGGACAAATGCGCGAATGATTGGTGCAGTGATTGCAAACCAGGCTTCATCGGCTGCTCCGTGAGTACTTCCAAGCCGGAATCTTTCCCAAAGCATAAACAGATACTGCTTACTACGTAGTAGTAACATCACAACGTTAGGACTGCTGGGTCAACTGCGTACGTACACACCGGTTGATCAAAATCTTAAATATAAGCTTCTAAGTTAGATCGGAGCCCTGGACATACAGTACGTAGCCCTTACAAAATTATACTTTTGCCTCTTATTGTATTGATACGGTCCGAGCCTTTCGGCTATCGAGATCAGCGCTATTTCGCGCTCATTTTTATAGCCGACACTTCACGACGGAGAAAAAACGGGCACTTCAAAAGGGACAGACCCCCATGTGGGCAAGGCCTTGTCTTTGCACCTCCGCGTCTCCGAGGCATTTTGACGGCCAACTCCGTAGTTCGGTAGAAAAGCGGTGAGGCCATTCCCGTAGTTTATTTGTTAACGGAATAGAAATACACGCACGGAGGATGTGAGGAATGGCTTGCAAACGACCTGAGAGAGAGAAGAGATTAATCAGGCATGCGAAAATATCGGCCCGTGATATGATCCGTACGAAATATACGGAGTTTGCTGACAAGAAGCGAAAGAAGAAGCCGATGTCTATAACGGTTCGGGTTTCTCGAATAGGTATTTAAATCCTCTCCGAATCCCCTTGCGCTTTCCAATATGTAAACCGAAACATTTTCAGGCAATTCGATTTCGATCATTCTACCAAGATGATGTTGATCAACGCTTTCGTCGCCGCAATTCCTCTCGTGTCTCTTGCCGTTATAGCAGCCGCTTTCCGTGGGCTTCTGGGCGAAATCCCAAGATCAAACTATGCGCGGATGCTAGCTCCGTTCATTGCATCGAGCCTCCTGCCCTATTCAGCTTCTTATACGGTAGTATAGCTTCATTTCCTAGTCTTCTAAAAGACGAAGCTTACCCTAATGAAAAGAATATCGGACCTGCTTATGAAAATCAGGTTACGTCTCTTTTATAATTATAGCAACTTATGCCGCTCCTATTAATAAGATCTCTTTCTTTAATTACAATTCAAGCTATTAATTGAACCTGTCTTCTTGATTGCGACCAACGAGCCAGCTCCCACTCATTCCGGCTCGATCTATGACTTGACCAAAAGCGATTATGCCGCTTACAATGATGCGATCTCTTCTTACGTGTGCTCTTAGCTACAGCGGTCCGATATTCTACTAGAAATTTCTATACTAGACCATAATGATATTGCAATTATGTCTGCTCGGAGCTTCTTATGATCAGTGTTACGAAGGCTACAAGGGTTACTGGTAGTAAGTGGTTTAGAGGGTTGATTGTGGTAGTGATCGGTCAAGGTCACGTGGTTCTGCCGGCATTCTTCGAGGCATTGGAAACAATCAGCCTGTATTCTAGTTAGCCGGGAGACAGGAGACTTGGCTGGTGATACGATGGTGTTAGCATAGAAATCAACGAATGCATTTCACGAAAGCCTCGTGTTTTTAAAACGCCCAAACCCGTGATATCGTACCTTATGATACATCTATCTGCATAATTTACAGCTTCGCAACCGGCTTGATCCCCTTGTGAATCGCTGCAATCCCTCCAGTGAGATCCTCCCACCCCTTTCCAGGCACAACAAAGCCCGCTCTCTTGATCATATCCCTGAATTCCTCCTGCTTCGGGAACTTCTCGATACTCTCTACCAAATACTGATAGCTGGCCCTATCCCCCGCCACCAACTGCCCAATCAAGGGAATAGCACCAAAACTCCACCTCTTATACACGGCATCAAACACCGGGTTCGTCACCCCGCTGAACTCCAAGCACGCAAACACGCCTCCGGGCTTCAACACCCTATACGCCTCCCTCAGCGCCTTGTCCTTGTCAGTAAAATTCCGTATGCCGAAGGCGACGGTGTAAAGGTCTATGCTGTTACTTTCCACGGATGAAAGGGTCTCGGCGTTGGCAACGAGCCAGGAGAGGCGTGGGGAGTTAGCGTAGGCGGTCTGCAGGGAGCGTTTCTTGCCTTCAGCAAGCATGGCCGGGTTGATGTCCGAGATGGTGATGGTTGATTGCGGCGAGTTGTTGATGTGAGTGGCGTGGTCGAGAAGGCGAAATGCGATGTCGCCCGTGCCGCCGGCGATGTCGAGCATAGTCCAGCCAGGGGAGGGAGAGGAGCTACTGGAGGATGAGCCTGGGTTAAGGGAGCGGACGAAATAGTCTCTGATGACGCTGTTAGTACGGAGCTTGGTAGGCATCCTACTAAAAGAGCTGGTTGTAGAGAGTGTGGAGAGTAACCAAAGACTTGGGTTACTGACTTCCATAATCGATGGATACCGAGAGACATAAAGTCGTTCATCGTGTCGTACGAGGCTGCTACATTGCTGAAGACTCCCGCCACTGCATATAACTCCAATCAGCTCAGTTGACCTGCTGAAGAGCTGGAAGACTACCTCTAGCTTCCTTATCTGCTTCTGCGACTGTTTCGAATCCAAAATGTGTGGTTTTGACATTATCCGTAGGCTGGGCTCGACCAGGAGAGTCTGTTCTTCGGGTGGTGTTGGATAGACATCGGGTGGATGTTGAAAATAGGAATCGCGGTTGAGCTGCATGCAGCAGAGGTCGTATAGTTGATCTAGCTGCCATTGGAGCTCGCTAGTATACAACCAATTGCCTACCAGGTTGTAGGCTGGACTGCAAAACTTGGGGAGTGAAGTCGCTGGCCAGGATATACAACAATTCTCCTCAGCCTCGTCGCCTAACAAGCATTCTCGGACTTGGCGATGGCTGCGGTATCACGTGTCACTTAGGGGGTCAAAGCATTACGATAGACACTTTCCTCGAATTCGCTAAAGGGTGTCATGGTTTTGTTCTCAAAGTAAACAGTGCTACTCCCTGACCAGATACTTCTTCAGCAGCTAGCAAATCCAGCTCTAGCGTCGCCCCAACCAGCTTGATGCCAACCTGCAACAATGCTCCGTTCTTTTCCAAAGCTTCCATACAAGCGCAGCCGAGGAGAGTATATAGCTTCAATTCTTCGGCGTCTTTGATCAGCTTTGTTACTTCGGAAGCGCAACTCGCTCTCACGGGTGTCGGAGATGCGAAGGTTGACTGACTTTGCTTTTGTCAGAGACGAGCACGAACTTCGGGTAATTAGCTTGGAGGGTTACTGCAGGATGGTTTAAGCAGTATGTAGAGTGGCCTCTCCGGTAATAGTGACATGCTTGACGGGAAGCTGCAAATAGAACCACGAGGTCACCTTCTTTGAACGACTCCCCGACTTTGGAGCTGCCAACCCGCAGAACTCGACCAGCACCTATTAGCAGCCAGTATTGCAGGCTCATTTGGACTACTCCAGCTGGGAACATACCTTCGCGACCTATTACACGGGGTTATATTCTTCTATATCCAATGATGTCGGTATAGCAGACTCCCGTTGCAATAACCTCTATCAGATCTCATCCTCATGCGGCTGCCGGGTCAGCAGTTCTCAAACTTCCAGTCATGCTCCCTGTAGGCTACAATGCCTTTGCATGGAATTATGGATCAGGAGATCTTTCAAGTGAGAAAGCCGAAATAATCGTAACTGACGACAGAATCATACCAAATTGAGAACCCTTTATTGAGGACCCTCAGATCTTCAATATAGATGGACATCCATCAGTTGCACTAACCTTTTAGTCTAGGATCCATATATCAGTGATGAAAGTGTAGTGAATGTTTATTTCCTACCGCGTGGAAGATGGCGACTTGTCTCCTCAATTCGGTCCAGACTGTGATGTTCAACGGAAGCAAGTGTTTACATTGCCCCCGAACTAGTCCGAGTTGGACGCCCTGCATGTGACAGCAGGGTTCGGTTAACCAGCACCGCCTGCTCGATCTGGTATTTTTTAATCTTTTCATGAAGAAAGCACTGTTTGTCTTTGCGGCTACCATACCATGGTTCGCTCGAAAGGCTCGCCATATCAGGACTCGTGGGATTTGGAACCTCCAGCTACCGAGCAGGTCGATATAGAGGAGCCACGGGACTGAGCGCTCATCAATTTCTTTGTGAAGGCGTACTTTGATATATCAACGGCTCAGGAAGCAATCGACACTGGGGAGCTGGCAGGGCTCTCGATGAGGGCACTGAAGCCGGTACAGAAAAGGGAAAATGTGGTGTCATAGCCGTGCTCTTCAATGCTGGCACACTCTTGACGACCGGTTGCCAGGCTGTGTATTCCCTTGCTGGGAAACCAAACTATGAGCCTTCTTCGTTAGTTGCGTAGTAGTTACTCATGGTCCTATGGCAAACTTCTCCTGCAGTACACACCGAGAATACCCACCGATGATTCTCATCTGCATCGTAACTATCTATCAATTTTATTCATTATGGAGGCGACACAAAGCAAGAAACGGTCTGATACTAAAGTAAGCTCTCTTAGCTATAAAACAACGACCTCAAATTTATCAAGCCTTCAGCTTTTTCGTCACAACTTTTAATCTTCGACTCTATTTACTACGTACGACTTATCCCCCCCTTTATGAACTCATGTCGGACCCAGTTTAGGCCCATAAATCGTAGAGCGGTGGTTTCTGAATGGCTCAAAGCCCTGTCAAATTAATTGCACAGATTAAATACTGACCTAAAGATACTGTTCAAGGCTGGATTCTTATAAGTTGATTGGTTTAAGCCCTGGTAAGATGCCTTGCAAACTTATACTTTCGACATGTACTGTACAACGTCACAGGCGTACCTACTACCACGGTACAGGCCTAAGTATCACCCAGTACTACGTAGGTTCGCAATACTAACAATATCAAACATGCCGTTGCAAACAAATCACTAGTTTCGCATAATAGTAATAAAGTTCCGACCAAACGACTACCGATTTTGCAATGTCTCTACCCACTACTATAGTACGTAGTACTACGTATATCGTTACCACGAAACCTTGAACGCCTTTAATGTATCAGGTCAAAGTTTAGGCTCGACACTCCCCTTTCTTTTGTCCAGGGACAACACTTGACCGCTGTACCTCACCATTCCGTCCGTAGTTGTACTACGTCGCAGGCGTAATTGTTACACCCTTGAGGGTAGGGGAACCAGGTAGTAGTACAAGAGGCATTGTAAGCTTAAGATTAAATCTTCACTTTGCGTTGTAAACCTTCTTCTACCAATTCCCGTACCTTACCTTTAGGATTTGAAACTTACGCCTGGGATGTTGTACTACTGAATCTGAAACTTTCGAAGAGAATAAATACACTGGTTTAAGCTTCCAGTACATGATTCCAGGGTCCCTCGACTCTTCGAACCCCCTGTAAATAGACGACACTTACCGTGCTGTATCATCTCGACAGAGTCGCGACTCGCGCATACTCCTTTCGTAAATATAATATAATGACTTTGAATGTACAGAGTAAAACAATTTTTAAGTTGAGAAATTTTAAGAACAGGAATCCATAGGTATTAGCGATGGCTATCTACGTGATAAATATGATAGAAGGTACGAAGTATAGCGAACGGTGAAACCAAAAAAAAGACATTAACGTTGGCGTTGGCGTTTTAGAGTACTTGGATTCTTTCGGAAAGAAAGACTAACGCAAACGCTATCTCAAATATTCACGCGAATCTAACTTCAGGGTACACATTAACCATTCCCGGGGAGCTACGGAGAACCGCATAGACCCTTTAATGTTGCTTCAGGGCACACGACACGATTGAGTTTTGACCCCTTATTTGCATGCTACGATATACGTAGTACAACTACGTATTTACTTCTATACGTACGGAGTTGTACAACATCCTTCTGCCAGCCTTGGCCAGGAAACACCTAGTACCTTAAGTGAACATCTCAGCGTATTGCGTAAAGTAGTTATGGAAGAGCATTTTACAACGATTCTGCCAAAGATTCTGCCAACGATTCTGCCGTTTCAAAGCGGTGAAAAAAGACTATTTGAGGCAAATCAATGATGCAAATAAGAGGATCAAGTACATAGAGCAGAAGAGCTGTCATCGCTTCCACATCGTGAAGCAAAAGCTCGTTAAACTCCGCCTCCATCCCAAAGCGCAAATACTGTGCAAGAAACCGAATATTGATCGGCCTAATCGACACCTTCAGCTCACATGAGGTGGCAATTACGAAGATGAATCGAGTGTGGACTTTTGTTGAAAGCAAGGGAAACTCGTGCCGGGGAAAGAAACTGTTTAAGAATCACCAGCTGCGGCAGGAGTGGCGTTCGACAGTGCCGGCGAATCCTTTCCTCCGAAACCACGGCCTCTTCCTCGTCCACGACCCTCGCCACGTGCACCTCTTGGAGCACCGCGTCCCCCACGTCCTCCTCGTCCACCTTCACTATCGCTCGCACCACCGCTTCGGTATCCGCCTTGGAGGTTGCCCGAGTTGTTGCTGCCTCTGCTGCTGCCCCAGTTTCCAGCTCCGCCGCGGTTACTCGAGAATGGTCTGCTGGGCTCTTTTGGTTGAAAGATCTTAACGAGAGGGCGGCTTCGGTCTTCTCCAGTTCGCGACTTAACGTCGTCTGGTAGGCCCGCAAGGATATTGTCTCTCTCCTCCAGAGTCTTGAAGTGTGCGACCTTGTTAGAATTGCCCCATTTTTCAATCTTCAAGATCTTTTCCTTATCCTCGTCCTTAAACAGATCCCGAACAGCCTCATCTGAGGTCACGTTCATGATAAAGAGGCCAATGATCGGCTCACCGGCTGGCTTAGTAACTGGCGAGGTTGGATCGGCTCCATTGGTTCCATTTCCGTTGGTCGAGGCCTTCTCGTTCTCCTTCTTGTCACCTGGTCCGGGAAGGTTTACCACGTTGGTCGGAGGCTGGGGGGTTGCTGACTTCTGTTGGGGAGCTGGCGACTCTGATTTGATGTCGGGAACAGCTGGTCCTCTAGGTGGTTGCTGTTGAGGACCACGCTGGTTGAATGACTGAACAGGTTGAGCGGGCGGAGGTCTCTGTGCTGGTCCAGTAGGCGGAGCCGCAGCTGCAACCGCATGGCTTGTTCCAGGAGTTCCAGATCCAGTTGAGGGAGCCTGAGATGCTGGTTGCTGGTTGGCTTGGGCTGGGTGTTGCTTTGCGCCTCTGTGTGCGAAGTTGAATCCCTGTGCTCTCATCTCCGTGCCAATGCGACCGTCTTGGACCTCCAGGACCAACCATCCAAACGCTGCATCTGCCAAGTTGAAGTTCCACATGTTTTTGAAAGCACTCTCGTCGACTTGTCCAACGGCCGCCGAATTGGCTCCTCCAACTGGTCCTCCGAAGGGGTTCCCACCAAGAGCAGTGCTTGGCATCTTCTCGACTATTCCAAGTGCATTGTTCAGAAGACCTTGTTGAGCTTCGTTTGCCGAGATGGCAGGCTGAACCTCGCTCTTGACCGTCTCCCATACATCGTTGAAAGATGCCTTCGAGGCAGCCAGCTTTCCGCGGTAGTGATCCAATGTAGGGTTGACACTGAATTCGTTGTAGGAGCTTCCATATCTGAAATGGAGACCGGCGGAGATCGAGAAGTCGGCCTTGAGCGTAACAGACAGCTGGTTCAAGATACCTTCCCGGGCAGGTGAAGCATGTGTAATGAAGATTCGAGTTTCTGTAGGATCGTATACACGATTCGCAGTATCGACCAGCTCACCCATCTGTAAAAGTGTTGTCCACATAGTGCCTTGTCCACCGGCAATCGTTGTTCGTCCCTCACCATTGTCGAATAGCTTGTGCATAACAACCGCCCCACCGAGCCCCAAGAGTCGCAACTTGACGCCACCGATTTCTAGCAGCATGGAGCGTGCCTCGTCAATGATGTGCAGCTTTTCGACCTTGTACTCTCCAGATCTAAATTTCTCCAATACGCGCACATCTTCACAAGCACCCCAGACCGTGTAGACCGGAACATCGAGTTTCAGACTGCCATCAAGGAATTGTGGGAGTTCGGACAGAGGGAGCTCGTTCGGATTGAATCTCTGCTTCACGGGTCCTCCAGGAGCTCCAATCGCCTTCTTTACGGGCTCCGAGATGAGGGGTGAATATTGCGCGACGTGCTTGAGGGTCCTGAGAGCATCAGGTTAGCACGGGGTCGGGTTGAGCTGATGATATTGCCATCTCACTTTTCAGCAATACGATCCAGAGATGTGTTGTCGTAGAAACCAAAGTCGCCAGTGTGTATGATGTGGTCTGCGCGAGCTTGCTTTGCGAGGTCGTTCAACGATCTAAGGTTTCCTTCCTGCTGTCAGCTTGGTCTGTTGAGGAGCGCCTCAGCTTCAGCTTACCCCGAACGTCTGCCACGCAGAGCACTCTGACACCACCGGTCTGAATTACGCGTCCGTTGTTGGGGAGAAGAGGTGCGGCTCCTGGTGGCAAGCCAGTATGTCCTGCGCTGCCGTTGGGAAGATAGCCGGGGTTGTTGTAAGGGTGAGGGCGTTGCTGGAAGAGATTTCAATTAGTATTGTACCGAAGATGAGCGCGCAGGCGAAGCAATGGGAAGCTCAATCTGCAAGTGTGCAGATAGCCTCGAGCTTGCGATAGAATCAGGGGTTTAAAGAAGGCTGGAGCTCTTGAAGGACAATACATACAGAAGCCATGATTGCGAGGTGAAGTGAAGCGTGTTCGAAGGACGCCGAGATTTAGATGGTCGAGTCAAGGTAAAGGTCGTGGTCGGGAATCGTAGAAGGAAAGCGACCTGTGGGATGTGGGATGTGGGATGTGAGATGGTGGGATGTGGGATGGGGATGAGGGGGAAGGAGTTTCCTTTTCTTAAGAAAGTGCTTTACAAAAAGATCGCGGTTGCCAGATACCTACCAGCTAGCCTGCCCCTGCTGGTCGTTGGCTCGCTACGACTATGACCAGTTACCACGCTAGTCTGTAAGCAGTAAGTTCAGTAAGTAGTAGCTTTCTGCCCCTGAGCAGTGAGCACCTCGCTCATGCTCACATTCTCACATTCTCACATTCTCACATTCTCACATTCTCATGGATTGCATATTCATACAAAATTCGTGTCCCAAAACGAATCGGTGCTGCAATGCGTGGTATAGTATCTATAGGTATGCAATAACCAATTCGAAGTCGAGGCGAATCATTGCAATCATGATCCACGACCAGATAGATACCTGAGGTAGTTCATCGAATATTAACGCTCGGTTTGTTTACTTTTATTTCCGCTTCTGCCTCCGTCCAGGTGTTGAATTTCCATCGTGCTATGTAATGGATCAAGATTATGACACCTGAGTATGGTAAGGCAAAACATGCATGCTTTGTTGTTCAACTTAGGGGGAGCTGGCCTGGCCGTGGCTCCTGAGCTTTTGCCTTGTCTCTGATTGAATCTTGGTTCAGAAACGTGCTTGCAGGCAGGCATCCTTCACTCTTGTTTTTTCTTGTCCTTGACGCCTCCTTCACTGCTACTGCTGCGCGGCAACCTCATGAGAATGCCTCTAGTTCGTTCTCTCGAGATCAACCTCGAACGTCAACACCAGCTTCCTCACCTTTGAGCCACGCGAGTGACGTGCCTGATACCATCTGACATCCAATTTCTGGAGGTATCGGATGTTCATGCTTTCAGGGGCAACAAGAGCAATCGTTCGAATCAGTGTAGACATGAGGCTCCAGAACTATCATTTAGCACATCAAAAAACCGGGAGAGACTGAAAGAGAAGTTGTACAAGAGAAGGGATGGGTATCATCAATTACAATTACCATAAACAGAATCAGATCCAACGCACCGCATTATTCTTTCCTACCCTCTCCTGACATCCGCCGGATAGTCAACTCCACACTGCCCATCTCCACCCCTAATTCGCATTCGTCGCCCTCTTGTAAATCATACCCGCCGCAAGCAGCGCGCACGCCGTCGCTCCCAACGCAATGTAAACGCCTGTGCGATCCGGTGCCTCCTCCTCACTCTTCGGGAACGCCGAGCTTGGATTCGTCGCCGCCTCCGCCAACGTGATGAACAACTCGCTAATGCTGTTCCACGTAACGCTCACATGCAGCGGCGCATTCATATTCAACATCATCGTATACTCATCCGGCTGACTCTCGCTCCTCTGTGTCGTCTTGTCTTGATCCGCCTTCAGCGCCGTATAGATTGCCGGCAACTCGTCCAGCTGTGGGTATCTTTTTCGTAAACTCACGATATGTGAAAATGAGTCTGGGTCAGAAGAGTCGTACGTGTAGCAGATGAGATCGCAAGCGTCGAGCTTGGCTTGGTTCTCTAGGATGGCGGGCTCGAGCTCGCCAAGTTCTTCGAGGATTAAGTAGCATTGTTTGCCGCTTTTCTCAACGCTGTTCACTGCTGTGCGGGGTTTTATAGTGGGCCGGTAGAGTGAGTCGAACGGGCGCGCGAGGAAGGCGTCTAAGAGGGACGATTTTCCGGACGAGGGGGCTCCGACTACGTAGCAGAGGACTACGTTGCGTTCTACGCGGCCGGCACGCCGGCGACGTTTGCGAGCTTTTGTGATCTTGAGGGCGGAGGTTGTCGAAAGGCGAGGACCACCTGCTGGCTCAAACCCTAGGTAAGCGAGGTAGGAGAGGGTTGTACTGGGTGAGACGAAGGTTGTCATTGACCATTGGGCGAGCCAGCCTTGGAGCGTGATGTCGCCGGCTTCGTTGCGGACCGTGGAAGACGGAAAGGAAGTTTCAAGCCAGAAAGATGGAAGGCCTGGAGTAGGTGCGAAAAGGGCGTCAAGCTCTGAATTATTGAGTCCACCGTCGTTGTCCTTGTCAAACAGCAGGAATAGATCCACGAAAAATCGATAACCCGCTGGGCTTAGTTCCGCCGAGGAGTATTCTGGTATCTCGAATTTGGGATGAAGAAAGCTGTCCTTCAAGCTCAGGCTGTCCGTGTAGTGGAATTTCCGTAAGATAATCCAAATGGTCTCGTGTCGTCCTTTTTCTGCAAATAGTTTGTTCAACTGAATGAACCCTCTCTGATTAATCCCCTTGTCGGCTTGAGAACCCGGCGATTCTTTGCTGATAGATAGCTTGATATTGTCCAAATCCCCGGGTGACAATGGCTTCTCAAAACATTTCGCCTGAAAGGCGTTCATCTCTTGGTCATTCAAATATCCATCTTGATCCTTATCGCATAGATAGAAGATTCGTCTCAGAGCAGCTACCGCAGCAGGCTTAAGGTTCCCCTCCTTGGAATCGAACAGAGGTGCAATCGGATGTGTAACAGCCTTCTGGCATAGGAAGAAGACCTCATTGACATTGTGGTGTTCCCTGGCACTTGTCCGTATGCAGGAGTCAATCTCCTTGAACTCTGCCATCACAGGTAGCATCTCATCCTCAACCACCTGAGCTGTATTCCCGTTCGTGGTCAAGTCCGACTTATTGGCACATAGCACGACCGGCACATTGACTCCCAGGGAGCGAAAGTACGGCATCCAAAACAGTGCGACCCGCTCGTAGCTGTAGTGGTCAGAGTATACCAGCAAGATAACATTTGACTTCCGGATTTCCTTCCGCAGTGTATTTCGCTCTTGGGGCAAGGCAGAGGTATCCACGATCGTGGTAGTGACATTCTCGGGAGTTCCGATGCTGGGTGGTATGGTAATCTGTGGAAGGACGGACTGGATCTTGTTCGTCACGAAGACATCTTTGACCAGCGAGGTGATGAGGCTGCTCTTGCCCACGCTGTCATCGCCTACACAGACGATCCTCACTACAATTTGATTTCCATTAGCTTCTATATGCAAAAGAGGAGGAAGAGAAGAGGAAGAGAGAAGGGAGAGATTCTTGCCTGCAGACATGATGTTTCAATGTTTCATTCAGCCTTGTGGACCGCGGCTATCCTTTTTACAAGCTTTGCATCTGTAAATAGAAGTGAAGGTCGTCATCTATTGTACTGTGCTTATCGAGCCGACTTTTGCTTCGAGACAAGACAAGATCGGACAGCCCACACTGCGCTTAATTGATACTGAACTGAACACCTATTCGAGGCTTGACGCGCTTGATGTTGTGAACCGTCGGATAGGCGACCAAACAAAGCAATGCAGTGCAGTGTAGTGCAGTAGTAGCTTTCGGGACACCACTATCCAGCCGGCATTTGAAATACAACGTGCGTGATCCTGGATCTTCGCAAGGGGTTGGCTCCTCCACTCACTTGGCTTTGACTTCGGCTTCGGCTTTGGCTTTGGCTTGTTTTCCCCATCTTCCCCATGGAAACCTCGTCCGCCCTTCTTCACTTATAATGTTTTTGTACTATCTCCTATCATCGAATGCACTTTATGTCTCTACACACACATAATATATGTACATATACATCCGTATATTCGTACAAATAAATTACTGGCGCATGCGGGTGCACTTATCACCATCTAACTATACCCTTACGAGTCACTGCGTCCATCTTACCCCACACTCTCCTTCTCGTACCTTGCAGACCGACGACCACAGTTATCTCAACGGCTCTACGAAGTTCGACATTGCACTGCTCACTTGCCCGCCATCTACACTTCCATTCTTTTTTGCAGACTTTGCAGACTTGTAGCCCGTCTGCGTCTGCGCTTGGCAAGCATCAAAGTGAGCCACCATGTTGTGAGTGAAATGATCTCTATGTGTGTGTGTATTCACTAATCATACAGTGTTTTACCTCCTCCTCCACGCTACCCTTCCCTCAATGCATATAACGCTGCCGTTGCGAATGGCAATGCTCCGACCCTCATTGAGACCAACAACATCCTGTCCCACCCGTCAGGACCCGAATACCAATTGATTGTGGGCGAAGGTATTGCGAGGCGCATCCCCAGGACGGAGCTAGGCTGAAGTCAATACAGGAACCTACGTCCTGAAAGAAGACCTACATCTATCAACACCACCCCCACATCCTTCCGAAGCTCCAATTATCAATCCAAATCCTCTCGCGACAACGCCCCAACCTGCGACAGCTGGAACCAAGATCTCGCTACTTTCCTTCAGCTCCAAGAGCTCGGCACCACTCTTGAACCGAGTCGATACAAATAGGAGTGCGATATCAGGAGCCTTAGACACTAGTATTCAAGAATATCCCAGCGAGGAGCGTGCTTCCGGAGACATTGTTGCTGGCAGTAGCGATGGAGGACGTACTTCAGTCACCGGAAGTGCGAGAGCGACAGTATCCATTGGTTCTGCTCCGGCATTTGGGGAAGGTAACTCAATGCTGTCTGCCACTGGGAAAGATGCCGGGAAGAAAAAGAAGCCGAAAAACAATATTGCGAAGAGCAATTCATCCTTTATTTCACGGTGTATAGTAAATGAAAACATAGGTAAACGGATACAGGAGAGGCCAGCAGATGGGTATTTTGCTTTCGCGAACATCAATCGAGCCTTCCAGTGGCTTGACCTGTCATCTGCCCAAAAGGTACTGAGTACCCATGTTATTGGAAACATGAGCTAAGCGAAAATACAGGCAGAACACTTGACTAAGATTCTGTTTACCAAGGGCCACTGCCTTTGCCATGACATCAACCAGGTTACAAAGGCTCCAAGCCACATCGACCTTATAATGGGATTCTCGACGGGTGAAATTATTTGGTTCGAGCCTATATCTCAGAAGTACACTCGATTAAACAAGAACGTATGTATGTCTTTTGATGATCTAGCTATATAGGCACTAAACGAGTACCAGGGAATTATCAACGCAACACCCGTTTCAGAGATACGTTGGATACCTGGATCCGAAAACCTCTTCCTTGCAGCACATATGGACGGCTCTCTTGTTGTGTACGACAAGGAGAAAGAAGACTTGGCGTTCCTTCCCGAAGAAAACGGAAACCACACCAATGGCGACTCTGAAGCCAACGAATTCGATGAGCCAGGTATCAAAACGAAGCTCCATGTTGATAAGTCTGTGCACTCCAAGAACCAGAAGTTTAACCCTGTGTCTTTTTGGAAACTTTCAAATCAACGCATCAACGCCTTCGCATTCTCTCCAGACAACAGACACATTGCTGTGGTGTCCGAAGATGGAACGCTGCGGATCATCGATTATCTGAAAGAACAGTAAGCCGTCCGGATCGTAAAATCTCAACTTCGCTAACGGTCCAGGCTTCGGGACATCTACGCAAGCTACTACGGTGGTTTCCTATGTGTGTGCTGGTCTCCCGACGGTAAGTATGTTCTTACAGGCGGCCAAGACGACCTCGTGTCCATCTGGTCAGTTGCCGAGTCTACGATAGTAGCACGCTGCCAAGGACACCAATCTTGGGTCACGGCTGTATGCTTCGATCCGTGGCGCTGTGATGACCGGAACTACCGTTTTGGTAGTGTTGGTGAAGATTGTAGGCTCCTGTTGTGGGATTTTAGCGTAGGGATGCTGCACCGTCCAAAAGCTGTAGGTCGACCAAATGGTCTTTGAGGCCGCCGCTAATGATTAGACAGGTGTCTGTAAGGCGCAAAGAGAGCATATCCTCACGATTTGCAAACCCGCTTCAGAGAGCAGAAACTCAGAACACAACGACAAGCATGCTTAGGTCGAATTCCAGTCTTTCTGCTGAGGGTGACGTCGAGCATATGATCGAGCATCCAGTGGAGCCTAGAGCAAATACTGCTATGCTGCCACCTGTCATGGTACGTCCATCCTCGTCCTCATTCATCAAACGCTGCTAATACTTGTTTTCAGTCGAAAATTATCGACCCAGACCCACTGTGCTGGCTAGAATTTACGGAAGATTCTATCCTCACGAGTTGCAAGAGTGGTAGGTTCAAGTTCGACGATGGGACAAGTCAATCAATAACATTACTCTTTAGGTCACATTCGAACATGGGATCGACCCCGAGATGGCATGAACCAGAGTGAAGCCACTTTGTACTCCAACTAATTTACATACTATTCTGGGCGTTGCTTAGATCTTCTTCCCGCATAGTCAGCCGGAAATAGAAAGATATTTTCGATTTTGAACCCATGCCATTATCTTTTTCTGCCAATATGCTCATACATATCATCCAAAGAGCTCCATCAGCGAGGATGAAGGGCGAGTACAGTCAGTCTTGTGGAGGAGAAGATGCTAAGGGATCTTTGTGAGGGAGGGGAGGCGGAACTGTGGAAGATTGGCGCTGAGAGGATGGGATGGTTAGTGAGCTGTATTCGACGGGAGATTGGAAATGGAGAGGTTAGGTGGTGTTGCTGGTGGCGAGTAGAAAGGGACTGTGGAGGCTAGGAGGAATAGGGAGTGTACAGGACTCGTCACGCGGAGCCGAGGGTGAAGGACCTACAGAGTATTATTATATACTGCTTTCACTAGCCGGCAGTTTGATTTGGACTATCGGCGATTTCCCGACCGGAGATTCATGCTCATGATTAAAGCTTTCTCCGGTATACATACGATGGCCGATGCCTCGCCTCGCCTCGAGTTGTGAACTCCAAAAGCTCGGAGTATTCCACTGAGTTTCTTGATATCGATCAAGATGCGCCGAAAATACAAGTTGCATGTCAAGTATTGAATATTAAATGATCAGACCACGTCGCCTAGCAGCCGCCCGTAAAGGCACCTACGGTATGGTAGGTATCAATATCTACTTCGGTCACGTGAGTAAAATTCCATGCACCCAATCGGGCCCGGAAACTCTGGAATCCAAAACAGACTTCCCGTCTTTAAGATGAGAATGACGAAAGTGGCGCAATCTGTAGACGTGCAACAAAACTCGATGTTACACGGATGATGATAATAATGATGATAATAACAATACTAATAATCATAATGAGCTGCGGAAGTTTACCTGGTGGCCGTACAGATACTCTGTACTCTGTACGGAGCACACGAGTGGGACTTGAGCAAGTCGACGACGATGCGAGGACAGACCTAGGTAGCCTGATGATGATGCTGGTCAAATGGAAGGAAAAAGGAGGGGAATTCGAAATTTACAATGACAGCGAGATATCCTCACAGCTTGCTTTTTCTTTCCGTCCATCTGGGTGCACAGCTCAAGACTGATAAGAGGAAAACTGCCTATCTTCTAAAAGAAGCCTCAAATCCTGAAGGTTCGAACCTGGCAAAGTTCCGTTGATCTGGTATGATAAGAGGTTTACCATTGTAAGAATAGAAAAAACAGACGAGCTGATCCAAGGTATGTGGCAAGCAGAATCTGATTGATCGTATTCTTTTAACTTGGGAGAGTTCTTTACGGCCCACCACTTTCAAATTAGCTTCGATTTCATACTTTGGCGTTACCCAGCTAAAATCAATTCGGCTCGAAAGATCGAAAGAGCCGGCCAGGTAACTTCCAGACGGCATAGCATGCATCCATTTCGGTCAGTCTGGCCTCGATTTAACCTTGCGATCGTGATACTGCATAAGGAAGGGAGACTCTTATTATGGTGACGCGGAGCCATCGATTTACCCCATGCACGATAAACTATCAACCATAGGTTCACCCGGGGTGTCGAGATTTTTGCTGCGGCATACGTTTTGGTAGTCCGAATCCATGCAGGGGTTTACGACCTGGGCGAGTAGAAAGATTGGGTAGCAATAAGAGGTCAGTTGGCTTGAATATCTTTGTTCAATTACTCCAAGGTAGGAGGAACCTCCATAACACCCCTGCCAAAAAACTCGCTGATGGTTCCAAACTTGTCATTACTCCGAGCCAAAGCATCCAGAAACATATCGTGTCTATCAGCACTCTCATCTTGTGCCCTCCTGATGGCTCTGATGGTGTCATTGTCTTTCCGACAATTTGGGCAGCTACCCTCGACGTTTCCGTCTTCGTCAATGTCCATATTGAGACAATGCTGATGAAAACTATGCTTGCACAAGAAGTGCACTGCAGGTAATCCCAGTTGGTTTCCGCAAGACGAGCACCTAGAGTTGTTAAAGGTCTGCGGCTTGGTAGACAACTCTTTTATCTCTTGGCGTTTGTCAAGGGTTTCGTTGCGATATGAGGTGATGAGCCGACGATTCGATGCGATTTCTTTGCGTTCGCGCTCGATAGTTTGCTGTAGGTAAGGCTTTAACATGCCCATAGTTGCCACAGCATTAGTACTAAGTGTTTGGATAACCTGCAAAGGTGCCATGAGCCCGTCCTCGTCAATCTTCTTCAGGACAGCATCGAGTTCATCACCGGCCTCTTCGAGTATTCGCGGGTCCGAGGTGAAGTATGCTAATGCGGCGGGGTATAGCTGTGGTTCTTCTGAGCCGTACTTCCTCAGCGCCTTGATGGCGCCACGTGTGTCCTTTGCAGATGTATATGATCTGAAGATATCGAACCGCAGACCGGCTTGTTCGCGAACCAGAACGGTGCCGTCTTGAAAATTTGAAAGATGGGACAGAAGGAGCACGTTGGAGGTGTCGATAGGAATGTCTTTTCCGGAGATGAGTGTCTTGGCCTTCGCTTCCCACTCCTCTCTATTGGCGCCTTTCTTTTCATTCGACTTGTGCAGATACATTTCGAAGAGTGTTGTGTAAAGATCTATCTTATCTCGTTGTTTCAAATCCTTACCTTGCAGACACGCTTCGAGAAATACGATGAACTCGTCTGGATGGTCCACAAAGGAAGAAAATGCGGTCCTTGGCTGTGGTGGGGTGTACTGAGGAAGGGCAATTTGGTCTAAGCTCTCCACGAGTTGGTTGTCACTAATGGTAGTAATTATGTTGTCTTGTGGAGGTGGTGAAGCCACTGCCGATGTGTTCATGTATGGTAGGGGGAGAAGATCTCTCAAGTTTTGAACAGCATTTACGGCTCCGGCGGCGTACCCAGGCTGTTGCACAACCACTGTCCGGGGGGCGACAATCTCCTTCTTTGGTTGATAAAGTCCTGTGAAATATTCAATGAACAAGTCTGTCGTATCTTTCGAGCAATGTTCCAGAAGAACTCTTGCGTACTTCATGAAGTTGGGATATGCCTAAATCGGGTTAGTACCATACATATTCCTGACAATTGACAGCGTAACTTACTGCATCTGGCTCAAGTCGCCAGATATACTGCAAGGCCTCCGAGTAAAGTTTCGAGTCCTCGATCAAGATATCGACCACAAGCTCGTGCTCCCCGTGTTTGGTGGCAAGGTAAGCAGCTTGATCAAAATATCCACCCTGTCTGCACATTGAAATCGCCGTGTCAAGGTCAAATTTCAGATCACCGGGTGACTTGATGAAGTTTTCAAGTTTACCGATATCTTTAAGCTTTGCATAGCAGTTCAAGAGAAGAGTGGTGTGGTCTGCTGCCGCTTTGTGGTGTTCGTGCAATTCTTCGAGATACTCGATCAAATTGTGTATCCTCTGCGTATCCAAGAACTTTCGGATGACTTGCGATGGCTCGGTATTGTCAATGGCTTTCAGATACTGCTCCATGGCGGCATCATAATCTGCCCTCTGGTACAAGTAGTCGCCATATTTGCGATAGATAACGTTCTGCTGATGCGAATCCATGCCCGACCTGAGAGCTAAGCTAATAGCAGGCATGAACAGATTTCTTTGATACAGTATCTCTAGTCTCTGTTGCAGAGACTTCTCATGGTATCTCCATATCTAGATTGTTTGTCAGTAAAGCCCTGCTGCCACTCATTTCGCAGATTTTCTTACCTTACCATCTTGAGTGAGCGAGAAGAGGTCTCCCCAAATTGAAAACAATGTCTTGATTTGGGACACCAAAGATTCAGAAAGCGAAACAAACCGTAGACCAGTATCTAGTAGCGTGAAAGTTGACGTGTTGAAAAGGTCTTCGGCCTGAGAGCCCCCGAAGCGCCGTAGCCCATTTGCCTTGGCAGAAGTGGTGGCGATTGCGGGTGGACATGCAAGAGCAACATAGTCCTTGTAGATAGTCACCAAGCTTTTTGGGCCATCGTAAGCGTAGCATGGACCCCGTCCATCGACTCCGTAGTAGTAAATCGCATCATCTCGGACAACGACAATATCCCCCGTTCGTTTGTCGAGAGTCATACACCCAACACCACATCCCAACTCCTCGACTGTTTTGGCAGCCTGGCCTGAACGCCCAGAGATAGCAAGCTTCAGTATACGTGATGTAGTCGATATGTATAGGGTGATGATCTTGTTCTCGTCTCGAAACTCGACTCCAGTGATAGGCTCCTCGGATTCATGAACGGTCCTTTGCTTTGCGCCCCGGTCATGTACCAAATCCCCCCTTATGACGGTCACGGATCCATTGGCAAATCCCACGGCTAGCTGCGAAAGATCATCGAGGGCTGTGAAGGCTGAGATCTGCCATTGAAAATCAGGGAAATATTCCGCACAGCGTTTTCCTGCAGATACCACATACCGGAAACGGTTTCCTCCCATTTTGTATACTGAGTGTTGACTGGCAGGTTGGAAGTCCGGTCTTCTTCACTTGCTTGTCCAGCGCCCATACTTTCAGTACCGGCTCATTAGATATGTCTTCCTATATCAAATCAGATCCATAGAGTAGCAGCGCTGTCACAGACACACACCGATATTGTTACTAACAACGCTGTCCCTTCCACCTGCTTCATATGCGTGATCGAGCCGCTTTCGTGCGCCTGGAAGGTTCGCAATACCTTGAAAGATGGAGAGAGGATACGAACGCTGCCATCGTAGCTACCAAGGAAGAGGTTCTCGGAGCCCGAGCAGACGCAGCTGATTTCGTTGTTCTCGAAGAAGGACTGGCTCTCGTCGTCCGCAGGGTTGACTTGGCTCACTTCGAAGAAATCGACCGTTTTCCACTGCAGTGTATTAGCAAGCTGATATCCAATAAGACCAAGGTTGAGAAGAATAGTCACCGAAAGCAAGGCCATCTTCGCAGTCGCAAGAGATCATGGCAGGTCTTACGTGGTGGAAAGTCTGGGTTCGCGCGGCGTCATGTTGTATTGATGCCATCAGGTTGCAGGTTACGTAAGCCCAAAATACAATAAGTGGGCCTTGCCCTCGAAGTCTGAATGAAGCTCATGTTCTCTCAACCTCTGACAAGAGAAATAATGGCCAAAGTCTTCCGCAATGCAGACAAGAAATGATGCTTAACTTGCGGTTGCCGATTATACAATATTGACCTGGCTCTCCGCATGAATCTCTGAGCCTCACAAACCCGACTCGCTAATTTCAGGAGCTTCCCTTCTCGCTTCTGTATTATTTATTTAATTGATGCTGACCATAGGCCCGTCTACAAGGTCTTTCTTTACTGCTAAGATATTGGTGATGTTCGTCACATGCTATTAATCTCGACTACTCTACTTATTTACCGGACCTACCTCAAAAGCAGTCATCGACTACCTTTACGGTTATCGATTACTTATCTTGAAGCTCGCTCGCGGCTCGAATTCGACGGCTCCGAGCTCCAATAGGCCTCTCGCCGTCTCACTCTCATTTTAGGCTTGCGCTAAATCTAAGCTAATGCGTTAATGATCAGAATAATTATCGTCAACAAACATTTCTTTTGGTTCCATTTTGTTTTCGACGGTTTAATTACGCTCAGCTGCTTTGCGAGAACGGCGTCGTCTAATCTTAAAGCTAATCGATCAGGAAGGTTTAAAATAGCGAAGCTCAAAGTTAGCGAAAGACTAGGCCGAAAGAGGGGATTTTTTGAGGTACCGGTAGTTAACCCGGACAAGAATCCCACCAGCATGTTCTCTATACAACCTCTTAAAGTACTGTTAATCAGAGATTAGTAACATGCCCATATATCCTCTGCGACCCGTTGAATATCATAGGTATCGTAAATGTTTTTTTCGTTCCGTATCAATGTCTGACACCTTCTGATCATCCGGCTCGATTGCCTCAGCAACGTTTGATTCTTGTCAGTTGACTTGTGGTCGCTGCTTCTTCTACCTACACTGCTTCTTCTGCTTAACTTTGACGAGCTTATCCAGGATATTGCTGTTACTGACATGTTTTTATCTAGGGTTCTGCTTTCGATTATAATTTTACCCTCAACCCTCAAGACTAACGTACCGGCAGTCTCCTAACATGAAGCTTTTTTTATCACAATATACATGCATAAACAGCTCCGCCGAAAGCAAACAAGTAAATTTCGATACCGGTAGCCTGAAATGGGTTTGACTAAGACCCTCCAATGAAGTGATTTTGAACGTCACCTGATAAACTTTACAATTTTAGACGGAATTCGGATGCTTGGTTAACTGATTTAGTCACCCTGACTAGACCTCCACCAGAAGTTTTCTAAAGAGCTTGCCAAGGACGACTCGGAAGATAGCTTTTATATTCACGTTAGTGTGGTCCAGGTATGATCATCTGATTCTGTTTTTGAGGTCGAATTGTTAACGGCTCAATAGGTGAGGCTTGGCTACAACAATTGACCCTGTTGCCCAAATGTCCTCCTGGAACTGTCGACTATTTAAGTCGATAAAACCCCCGCCACCGAGTCTCCTCAAACTTCATCATAGCAGTACTCTTTCTTCGGCCTCTAGAAACCTTTATTAACACCCGAACAAGTTCAGGTGTCATCAAGTATTTTCATCAAGCCCTTAAATACAGATTTCTCTACTATCTCAGCCAAGATGGGTTGGGTTGCTGCTAGCGCTGATGGTAAGGAAATTCGGGTAGTGGCCATCTGTCATATTGCCATTGTCTCAACAGTCTATGCTTTGAACGACTGCCGACTTCCAATCGTCAGAATATCTGGCCATAACTGGTGCCAACATTCACAGCCTGATCCAATACCTCATGATCGAGAAAGGAGTCTATACCGAACTGGCCAAGGCCAATGCAGACGCTGCGCGTGGCTTGAACCTCAAGATGACAATCTGGAACACTGATGCTCAAGCTGGCGGAGAGGGTGGCTCCAAAGGTGCTGGCATGGGTGGCATCGATTCCATCCGAAATATATACGAGATGCTTCCTACATTGATGTCGACAACCAATGAACAAACAAGTGTCACACTCCCCGAGTGGCAATCCGGCAAGCTTGCCAATCAGATCTCCGAGGGTGAAGTCAGCGACAAACAGTTCAGCGGGAAAAAGCTCAATGGCATCAATGGCAACCACTAGATCGCTCCTCTCGACGCAAACACTGCACCGTCAACGTCGTCGTCGTCGTTGTTGTATTCATTTGCGTCTAGCGGGATACAGCCTCGCAAGCTCATCGCCTGGAACTTCCCGGAGGGTACGGAGGCGTGCAAGGCGAAGGATTTATTTTCAAGCCCGATCACCATTTGCGGCAGACGTTTAATTCCCAAATCAACAATCGCTTTTTCTTTTGTCATTGACAGCAGATAGAATATCCACTTCAAATTGTTGGTTACGAGTAGGGTGCCCTTATTCTGCACTGTGCATTAGTTTGGACAGCTTGATGTTGGAATCTCGACGTCAGGGGCTCATCAGGGCTACTTGTACCGTGCGTGTACTTGCAATGATGAGAGATGTCTCTTACAATTCTATGTTTCCAGCGGACCGTAACCACATAATACAAAAATTATTTATATAACCCAACCATTCCCTTTCATCAGGCTCCACAGATGTTTCATATGTGATCTCTAATCCGTGACATTGGCTGGTGGCGAGGTAAGTAAAGCTGTTACATAGTAAAGAGTCAGGTCATCCATCAAGAACCCATCGCGGTCAATTAGTTTACCAGAGTAAGAACTTGTTCGGTGATGCGATAAGTATCACCAGCTGATCACTATGAAGTGTAAGTCATAGTACGCCTATACCACATGGCTTGTGCATCGCAACCTCAACAGCCTCGCTTAGCGACTCTGTGACAACAACAAAAATTGCTCCCCAGCTCAACAGTTCCGGCTTAATAGATCGAGCTTTAGCGACCTGCTCAGAGTCGCCGTCCCACAACACAGGTGGCAGAAAGTAAGTGGATTCTCGTTTCCTTCACTTCCCAAAAACCCCTGGGAAGAGATACTCTACGTTCTTTACTCCCTCCTCCCCTCTTCCCTCTTCCTTCGTCATGAATTTAATCATGCCCGTGGTGCTCCCCTCCCAATGCTTCCCCTTCACGAGATCCGTGTGATCTTCTTTGATCAACTCGTCAAGCACTGCGCCCACCAAGCGCCTAGCGTTACCGCCGTTGGCAGACATGTGGCCCATGACCATGGCGACGTCGACATCATCGGTACTGTGCCAACAGTCGTAGTCGGTCGCCATACAGATCATTTGGTAGACCATCTCGGCTTCGCGGGCGAGCTTGGCTTCGGGGAGGGCGGACATGTTAATTACGGAGCCGCCCCAAGAGCGGTACATGTTGGATTCGGCACGGGTTGAAAACTGTGGCCCTTCTGTGCGCGGAAGATGCATCAGGACTGGTACCTCCAGTGTCCATGGAGCTAGGAGAACGAACCCATGCAAATAATTGTTCCCTTGTCATGCATCGTTACTCCCTCTCCAGCTAGAGCATGCCCACAAGCACTAATAATCTATCCGTATGAATCAGCACTAGCCTCCCAAGATGTCTCATGTGCAAGTTGTGTAATACCTTCCCAATCTTTGCATCAAACGGATCCGCAAACCCCACATGTCCAACGATCCCCTTTTCAAAAAAAGTGAATGGCCTTATCCCCTTCGTACGATCAATGACCTGATCCGGCACAACAAAATCTCTTGGCCGGATCTCTTCCTGCAAACTTCCCACGGCACTGAACGCAATCACCGTTCTGACCCCAATACTCCTCAACGCAGCAATGTTGGCGCGGGAAGGTACTTCATGGGGAGCATACTCGTGGGAGGCACCATGACGGGAGAGAAAGGCAACGGGGACGTTGTTGTGTTGGAGAATATGGATGGGTGCGGAGGGATAGCCCCAGGGAGTGAGCGGGTTGACGGTTGCGATTTGGACGAAGCCTTCGAGTTTTTGGAGGCCGGTGCCGCCGATCACTGCGATGTGAACGAGGTCTGAAAAAGGTTAGTAAAGTAGAGGATAAAGGACAGACGTTCTTCCCTTCGAAGGTAGTTGGGAGATCTGCCATTTTGAAAGACTAATAGCTAGTCGCTGATGAAGGGGCAATACGAAGTAGAAGGATCGAAGTGTAAGGATCGATATAAATTTTTACTTGCTTACCCCTCCAACCAACCCCACCATCCCACTTCGTCTCACCCCGTCACATGACTGGGCCAGAAGTCTCGCTTCTGAGCGCTTACTAAGCACGCACAAATGGCTACTCAAAACTCCAGCGAAGTTTTGTAACTTGCGAATCCATCGACCAACGACAACACCGCCGACCGACGTTCATCACCAACCGCCAAGATGACCAAGATCAACTCCTGTACGTCTATATTCTGTGGTCACCTTCATCAGAAACCAATCGTACAATCGATTGCGCCAAATCATAAAACTAACATCCGCAGCCCTCCACTCCTCGCGCAGAAAGTCGCGCAAGGCTCATTACGATGCCCCCTCAAGTGTCAGACGCACGATCATGAGCGCCCCTCTCAGCAAAGAGCTCCGTGAGAAGTACAACGTATGGACCACTCTCCGCATACACCTCTCGGCCCCCCTTAACATCTCCCAGGTCCGCTCCATCCCCATCCGAAAGGACGACGAAGTTACCGTTGTCCGTGGCTCCAACAAGGGCCGCGAAGGCAAGATCATCTCTGTCTACCGTCTCAAATACGTTGTGCACATTGAGCGAGTCGTTAAGGAGAAGTCCTCTGGCCAATCTGTCCCCCTCGGCATCCACCCATCCAAGGTCGTCATCACCAAGCTGAAGATCGACAAGGACCGTGAGAGCATATTGGAGCGCATTAAGGCTGGCCGCGAGATCAAGGAGAAGTTGAAGGCGAAAGCTTAGATCAGACCTGACGACAAAAAGCGACCGAGCGATCTTCGAAAACTGGGCATAACGGCGTGTTGGCATGATTTGTTATTTGCACACTGGGTTGCCTTGCTACGGCTGGCGCCTGGCGCTGCTAGGCACAGGGAATGAATACAAGAACAAAACGTTATGGCCATTTCACATCCTCGGTGCTTGCACTCTGGTTTTACATGTGAAATGCTCCATGGGAGGTCCTCCCGAAGCAAAGTGCCGTGTTTTATACACACGGCCCGTTGGCGTTTTGCTATACCGAAATTTTGCTTTGGGAGGTTGCCCTCTTGCTAACTTCTGCACAGGATCGAGAGCAAGTGCTTCAGCTATGTCTGTATGCCCGCGCTAATTATCTCCGCGTCAACCTCCTTGAAAAAGGCCCATGGTTCTCGAGGTAAACAATAGCGCGAGAGGAAACACGAGTTCGGATCTTCGGATGTTGAACTCCCTTACCTGCAGACTGTCTCTAGATTTTATCTGTGATGAAGAGAGTTTTGATGGTGAGGAATATGCTTAATTCCTCACGTAGTCCGGTTTTCTAGCGCAAGTGGCTTGCTGGTGAAGTTACAGTATCGTCACTGCAAAATTCCAACTTTCTCGATGCCTCATTTCATCCTTATTAATGTTGGTCGCTTAGTCTCAATGTCTATCCTGCAGATATATGTTCCCTGACTAAAACTTCTCCACGAATGGCCTCATATCCAATTCTTGCGTAAAGTGGCTTCTGGGCTGCGTATGCAGATACCAATATGAATCAGCAATGGCATCTGGGCTGATTTTCCCATCCTCGACTCCCCCATTCACAGCCCACTCTTTCGTTCTCGGGATATCAATCACGCCATCTATGATCGCATGTGCGACATGGATTCCTTGCGGACCGAACTCCCTCGCCAGACTCTGGGCTGTTGCTCTCAAGGCGAATTTGCCGCTCGCGAATGAGGACATAGATGCACCCCCTCGTAGCGATGCGGTGGCGCCTGTGACGATGAGAGAGGGTGGGTGTGGAGAGGACGGGACGGAAGACAAGAGGGAGGGGAGCGTTGCTTGGGCGAAGAGGAAGAATCCGGTTCTATGGCATTGTAAACACCAATATACGCCCTCTCAAACTTACCACGTCTACCACATCTCGCGCGAATTCCAAAGCAAAGAGAGAGAGAAAACCTACCCATTCGCGGTATACCCGGCCTCGTACTCATCCTTCGTCAACTCCAAGAACGGCTTTCTAATAAACTTGCCCCCAACGTTGTACACGGCAGCCGCGAGCTTCTTCCCCTTGAATTCCTTTTCTATCTCTGTGAATGCGTTCTTGACAGAGGATTCAGACGACACGTCCGTGGAGACGCCAATTGCTTTCCCGCCTGCAGCATTGATTTCTCTGACTATGGATTCGTAGTTCTCGGGGTTGCGGGCCAGGAGGGCGACGGGGTAGGTCCTTGCGAACCTGAGGGCGACGGAACGGCCTGCACACATAGAGTATTGGTATCAGCGTTATGCTTTAGCTTTGGAATGGAGAGCAGGTTCGCAAATACCGGTTCCCGCGCCCACGCCGGCGACGATGCTGTAGAATGTGTTTGCAGCTGCTGCTGCTGCCATTGTGTCGTTGAACTGTGGCGTCGTTGGTTATTGAGCGGATCAGAGGGGATTGGACGAAGAGGTCGATTGGGGCAGAGTCAATAGGGTGCAATGCCGCTCGTTGATTGATAATGCTCCCTACTCGTGATGAGGGGTCTCGGATGACGTGATTGATCAGAGCTGCAAGTGCATTTTCTTTCACGATAAGTCAATACATGTTATTTGTCTTTGAATTATACAACAGAAGCCTTCGGAAGCTCACGGGGAATAGAGAATCGATGCGCTCAGATCTCGAGATGTGTTGATGTTGCAGCCGTACTTTACATGCTATGCTACCGCTATCGCTATCGCTACCGCTACCGCCAACGTCTCGATACCTATCATACCATTGATACAAATCAAGTTGCTTATTTTGCTGCACGTCGTAAAATCCACCACCAAGTTTCCCCAAACTCGATCTTGGTCCTTGTTATTGTCAGAATGCAGCATTGTTGGAAATCAACGGTATTGTCGTCACCGCCGTTGACATTGACGTCGACTGTCGCACCACCCAACAGAGCAGGCCGTCGGGCGATTGTGTGACCTCAGCTGGCACTGCGATGTGCAACAAAGTGTTGAAAAGCTTGGGTTGTGGCTCATACAAAACAAAGGTGGCTTGTTGTCGGTGCTGCTGTGTGTACTTTCTTGCGTACGGCGCATTCTCCGTGCAACAACAACTCAACCTGCTGTGGAACCAAGAACCAAGAACCAAGAACCAAGAACCAAGACCCAAGAGCCAACCGCTAATTAATCTGCTGCTCTCTGTTGACATCGGATTCCTGATCCGACCAACATCTTCTTCCGCGGCTTACGAAGTATATTGATCAACGTCAAGCACACCTGTTCTCTTCATGGATCAATTAATAGTGGGCCTTGACGTCGCAACTTTTGGGGCCCTTCCCTAAAGTGGGCGAAAAAATTATGTCCCGCGAAAAAATTATGTCCCGCTTCAACGCCAAAAACCGCGAGGAACGTAGACACTTATATTGCTTATAACATTGCTTACAACATTGCAATAATATATATATATATATTTTTAATAATGTTATTCATTCTTAATTAAGTTACGAAAATTTTATTTCACCGCGTGTCTTTTAAATTGAGTTAAAAGATGCTATAGATCGAATCGACGGCGAATCTTTTTGTTTTTTTATTTATTTTCTTCAAGCTCTTTCTTAAACTCTTTCTATTTAATAAATATTATTTTTATTAAAGAAAACGAAGATAAGTATTTATTTTCTTA